GATTCAATTCTGCTGCAATTCAATTTGCAACCAAAATCATGCAAAGCATTAAGTTCATGAACTGAGGAACCACTGTAACTTAAACAACACTGTGGATTCTTCATTTTTTTTTATTATTGACATAATAACAACCAAAGGTATTACATATATCAAGCTTAAAAATTAAAATTAAAGAATATCATCTGCTATTGAGTCCATATTCAAGTTTACCCAACTCCCACAAGAATATTTATGTGCATTTTTATTGAGACTAGATTAGATCTAGTCTCAAACTTTGTAGTAGATTATTATTTCTTTAATCTCTTTTAGCCTAGGAGCACCCCATGCTTGTTTGTAACACTGGCTTTCTGGTAGCTCGTAAAGAGTTAGTTGTATATTTTTCATTTTCTCTTAATGTTGGGTATACTAGATCTGCTTTTTGTTTTAATAACACATTAATGCTTCTTTCAGAAACTGAAAAAAACACATTTCATGTGGGAAAAATAAGACAAATTATTCAAAAGAGATAACACATTTTCTCAATGAAGTGTTCTTGGTTTGGTTTGGTTTTGCAGTCCTGGGGATTGAATCCAGGGCCTTCACGCTGAGCTAATTCTCACCCTTTTCTTTTATTTTTTTATTTAAGGATGAACTCTCCCTAACTCACTAAGTTGCCCAGGCTGGGCTTAAACTTGCAATCCTCCTGTCTCAGCCTACCAATGAGGTGGGTTTGCCGGCCTGTGTCACCATGTCCAGCTCCCACTGATGTTAAGAATATGGCTTTCTGCTGGGCGGTATGGTGGCTCACACCCGTAATCCCAGCACTCAGGAGGCTGAGGCAGGAGGATTGCTGTGAGTTCGAGACCAGCCTGTTCTACAGAGTGATTTCCAGGTCAGTCTCAACTACACAGTTAGACCCTGTCTCAAAAAAACAAAAACAAAAAAAAAAGAATATGGTTTTATGAAAAATATTTGTGCAATAAAAATTTTAAAGATGACAGATGATAGAAAATTAAAATAAAATCTCAATCCCGGGAAATTATCTTTGCTGTGAGTATACTTAATCCATTGGTGAATAAAACCATACAGAATTTCTTCATCTTACAGGTTTGTGTTCAAACAAAGATTTCATTCTTTAAGTTCTGAGGTCAGGCAGGTCTAACGAAACATGCCTATAATCCCCACTGGGGTAAGAGGATAGTAAGTTTCAAGCCAGCCTGAGCAACTCAGGAAGGCTCTTTCTAAAATAAAAAATAAATAAATTTAATACAAAAGGGCTGGGGATGTAGCTCAGAGGTGCAGCATCTGCCCTACCTGTGTGAAGCTCTGAGTTCAATCTCCAGCACAGAGAGAAAAAGTACTGAGGTTATCCCTGTTTGAACATTCAAAATTACCACAGATACAGGCTGTTGGCAACATTTAAAACAAAGTTTCTTCTGGATAAAGAAGTTGTGGTTTTTCTATAAAATGGAATATTACTCAGCCATAAAGAGCGAGAGAATAGATTCATTCATAGGAAAATGGATACATATTGAAGATATACTCCTAAGTGAAATAAATAAGTCCCACATGTGTAAATACCAAATAGTTTCCCTGGTGTGAATATTCTGCAACAATGCATAAGATTCTAATAAGATTACTGACATTTAGAAATGGGAAGAAAGGAGCTAAAGGTGTAGGGAAGGTGGGATACGTAGGGGAAGAACAAAAAGGGAAAAGAAAAAAATGTGAGAGAATGAAAAGATGAAAATAAAGTGTTTGTAGATGGGGAGGGGAGGAGGGGGTGAAGGGAGGTCAGAGGTAAGGGGAAAAAAATGAGAATCAAGACTTGCCATGTAAAGGTACATGATCCCAACAATGAATGTAACTGTACTGTATCCCTAAATGTACCAATAAACTCAATTAAAAAATAATAATAATAATAAAACAAAATTTCTTACTGAATCTCAGACCTTTGTATATTTTATCCAAATAAATTAGTTGCTTTGCTTTTTAAAGAATAAAAAAGTACAATACACTCATCACTTTGTCATTTTTGGACACTGATATTAGTTGTAGGGATGTTTTCTTTCTTCATGCTGGCTGTTTTAGTTACTTTTCTTGTTGGTGAGACAAAATTCTCGACACCCAAAGTTGAAGGAGGAAAGGTTTATTTAGCTTCTAGTTTGTAGAGGTTTCAGTCCATAATCAACTGGCTCCAAAGTGGAGTAGCATGTGGCAGAGGAGAAACAATTCATGTCACCCGCATAATAACAATGCAAGAAGGGACCCTAACAGCATCTGTCTACCCCTTTTGTCTTGTTCAGACTACTTAGGGCAGGTAGCACTCACATCCTTAATCCTAGCACCTTTGGACCTAGACCCACCATGAATCAATCACACACTTTAGATTCAGCCACCTCTGAAAAAGCATGAGACTTTGAGGGGACATCTAACCACAGGCCAGAACATTCTGTCCCTGCCCACCCACCCCCCAGGACTCGTGCTTATCCCTTTAGGCAAAAAAAAAAAAGCATTCGGTCAATCTCCAAGAGCTCCCAAAGTTCTAACAGTTTCAGCATTGCTGAAAGTCCAAGTCCAAAGTCTCCTCTGAGATTTAAGCAAACTCTTAGCTGCAAGTCCCTGTACAAATGAAAGGAAAGCTAAATACGTCCAACATTCAAAGGCACAAGATAGACATTTCCATTCCAAAGGTTACAAACAGGGGGATACAGAGGAATGGGACAAAAGCAAGACCAAAATCCAGCAGAGAAAACATTAAATTCCACAGTTGCACTTCCAGCAACCCCAGCAATCTGTAGCAAATTGTGAACTCCAAAGTGGCTCTGCCTCTATAGCTCTACAGACAGATGTGGCTCCCACAGTTTCTCTCTTGGGCTGTTTCTGCTCCCTCCTTGAAGGTTTGCTCAGACAATCCATCCTCCTGTCTTCCCCACACTTCTGGGTTTTCACCATACCTTCGGCTTCACCCTCACAGCTTCCCACACTGCCCTCACCCTGCCTGGCCTCCCAGGCCTTCTTGAAATCTGGTCTTCTGGGTTTTCACCATACCTTCGGCTTCACCCTCACAGCTTCCCACACTGCCCTCACCCTGCCTGGCCTCCCAGGCCTTCTTCTGAAATCTGGTGGAAGCTTCCTGACCCCACAACTCTTCCATTCTTCCTGAACCTAAAACCAGCACCATGTGGATGACGCCAAGGTCTGCTGCCAGCTGGAGCAGTAGCCGGGCTTCCTTCTCTCTTGACTGGGGGGATCAAGTGCCTGGATTGCTGAGCTCTCTGAATCCAATTCTGAGGAACAAATTCTCTAGGCTTCCACCATTCTGACATGGTGCGCTGGGGCTTTCTCCTCAAAGCAAATTCTTTCACTTTTGCCACTTTGAGGCTGCAAATGGCAGAGTTCTGCTGCTTCTTGGGATGCCCTTGGGCCATCTTTTCTATTCTTCTGTTTCTTCTCAGCAATCAAAATCTAATTTGTTCAGCCTTTGCAGGCCACAACTTTATGGGAGCTTCCTTTCTGGCCAAATTAAAACATTTTAAATCATTCTGCTGGGCTCTTTGCTCTTGATTCTCAATATAAATCTGCCTAAAAGCACCCAACAGTATCCATGCCACAGGCTCAACCTTAGACTGCTCTGAAATTTCTTCTATTAGATTAGTCCACTGGCCTTAATCTCAATCCCAGGCAAAGTCTCTGGACATGAGCAAACTGTAGACAAACTTTCTGCTGAGGCATAACAGACATGGTCTGGAGTCCAACAGCCAATGCAGTCCTTCTTCCTAGCAGACACCTCCTGAGCCTGGTCTTTACTGGCTTTCTGATCTTCTTAATTCTTACCAAAATCTCCCGTTCAGTACAGCCTAAGTCATTCCAGCTCTACTTCTTCAGCCTGCATCTCCAAACCTTTCCTAATACTTCCCCTTCCCACAGGCCAGTTCCCAAAAGGTTGTCATAGCAACAACTCCACCTCTCTGGTACCAAATTCTGTGTTAGTTACTTTTCTCTCCTTGCTGAGACAAAACACCCAACACCCAAAGTTAAAGAGGGAAGGGTATAGTTAGCCCACAGTTTAGAGAAGTTTCAGTCGATAATCGCCTGGCTCCAAGACAGACTGGCACAAGGCAGAGGGGCAACAGTTCATGGCAGCAGAAAATTGCAAACACAACAAGGGACCTTAACAGTGTCTTTCTGTCCCTTTTATCCCATCCAGACTACCAAGGCAAACAAATCACTCAGGAGCGGTGGTTTAGTAATCACACGCCCTTAATCCAGTATCACACATTCTGGATTCAGGCACCCGCGAGAACATGAGGCTTAACACAAGTCATAACACTGGCATTTCTAACAGCATCAAGATTCAGGAGAAACCCAGGCTGTGGAGTAGAAGAGGCAAAGCCCTTGAGGCAGAGCCAAAATACTGCACAGCCTGGCTCCAACACTAATTGACAGCTACCATTAGGAGAGCTAGAGATGCTGTACAATAAAAGCACTAAAGCTTCTCCATGTCCCCCTGGTCTGATGATTACATGTTGTATACACATATTGAAATGTCACACTGTACCCCATAAACAGGCAAACTTTTTATGTATCAAATGAAAATTAAAGTATATATCAAAAATAATTTTTAAAAAGCTTCTCCACACCTGCCTCACAAGTGCAAGGTCCCAAGTTCGATCCCCAGTCCCCCCCGCCAAAAACAAAAACAGCTTCTCTACATGGGCATTATGAGAATTAAAGTAGCTAATAAAATATCAGCTAAACATTTGCTAGCACTTGGAGACCAACAATGTTAATTCACCATCCCATTCCCCAATCCAATGGAAGTGTTGATCTTCAAGTGCTAGCAAATGACATAATAGGTGTTTTTCACATGGGAGATTTCCCTAGACTGGCACCTGGAAGCTCCTCTACCCATGACACAGTCTCACTATGTTACCGAAGTGTACAATCTTCCCACACTAATCAAATTTCAAAGATAAGAAGCACTTGTGAAGCTGAGCCTCCTCTAGAAATAACAGGGTTCAATGAAGAAGCTTCAAGGGGCCCTGTGGGTGTCTATCCTGCCCAGTATCTTTGAGGCAGGCACAAGCCACAAAATGATGCTGATGTGAATGGATCAGTATTTCAAGACATTTGATGATCTCATAGTCAGGAAGAGCCAGAGTGGTCACGTTCAAGCCCAGCATCTGGGAAACTACTTCCCTGAAGTCCACCAGCTGCAACAGCAAACAGAAACACATTAACAGGGAGAGGAAATGTACCCACTACTGTTGAGATAGATGCAATAAAAACAAATCCTGGAAAATTCAGATTTTCACAAGGTAGGCAGGTTACCCACCCACTTTAGCCTTTTTCTCTCACTCATAAGACAAGTAGACTACCTGCTAAACTACTTCTGAAGTCTCCTCAGACATCAGACTTCAGTAGTTTCATAACTACCTATGAAATACTGATGAGCCAATTGATGGAGAATTGGATACTGAGTCAAAATCCCCAGTTAAACAACCATCAATGAGGTTCTGATCTCACTAAGACTCATCTTCTTACCACCTGGGTTGCATTAAGCAAATATTCACCTGTCTGGAATTCTGCACAAACGAAATGACAACTATGTACACATTCTGCACACTAGAGAGCACTACACAAATGTTGCTATGGTTGCATCAGTGGATGACAACCATTTATTTAGGCATTGGAATTTTACCAGGGCAGTGAACTTCTTAAACAAAAGGAATAATAAATGGCATAAAACAAGAGGATGAAAACAAGAGAAATTCTAAATTATTATCAAATCATATCATAGATTACTATGTGGCAGACCAGAACATGGTCTGGGACCACTATTTATCCATCAAGAGAAAAATGCTGGCTATAGCAGCCTTCCCTGTGATCCTACCACACTGGGAGCCTAAGCCAGGAGGATTGCAAGTTTAAGCCCAGCCAATTAGTGGACAATTTAGGGACTTAGTGAGACTCTGTCTCAAAATAAATTGATTACAAAGGACTGGAGATGTAGTTCAGTGCAAAGGCTCTGGGGTCAAGCCTTAATACCACCAGGGGCAGGGGCAGTGAAAATGGTTGAAGCATGCTCCAGACCTCTTCGAGTTCTCCTAGGCTGGTTTCTGTGATTCTAAGGCTAATGCAGAAGCTGGTGAATCAGGGCTATCTGGACATACATAAGAAAGTTACCTTCCACCTAGAAGAGATATACGATCCAAACTGAAGATGGAGTTACCTTAAAGAACACCAGCCAAACATGCCCACCCTAGGCTCATTCATTCCCCAGACATCCTCCCACCCAGAGTCCAATTTGGGAAATGTAATGTTCTCTCTGCCGACCTTTAGGTTACAATGCGATGGTGTCAGGAGGTGGGGCTTTGGGAGTTAATTAGGTTCACATGGGGTAGTGTTGGTGTAACCCCCACTATGGGATCAGAGTTCTTGTAAAAGAGGCTCCAGAGAGCTCTTTTCCTTTCCAATATGTGAGGACTCATCAAGAAGCCATCATCTCTCGACCAGATGCACCATCTGCCAGCACCTTGATCTTGGACTTTCCAACCTCCAGATCTCTGAGAAATACTTATCTTGTTTACAAGCCTCCTGATTTATGGTATTTTATTATAGCACCTAAACAGACCAACACACCAACCCACTCTCCCAGATGAAAAAGTTTCCCTTGAACTCTCCCATCCTTTTGAATAAGGTCAAAGATCTTAATTCCTGAGACGTTTCCTTTTTGAGAACATTTGCTCGTATAGTTTGGCTTTCCCCAGCTCTGCCTGACGAGCCAGAGTAGGGGCAGCCAAAGAGGAAAAAAAAAAAAATCCCAGGACCAGAGTCCACTCACTGCCCTATGAGCTGCAGACAGAGAGTGACATGAGCGCCAAAGGCACTGGGGGTCAGGCTGCCCGGGACATATTTCTTTATGCCTGACCTGATGTGTTCACCAGATAAAATGCTCCTCCTTGCAACCCATCAGCCAATTAATACTTTTTTATGGCTTACATCTGTGCTTGGTTGACCATGAGTCTGGGTGACACCGTTAGAGACGGGAGACTGTTTCCTGCAACTGATCTCTTCAAGAGATAAGCTTCTCCTCCAGGCTCAAGCCCTGCTTAATGTTAAAAGATCTGGGGTGATGCAAACTCCGGAGGCAATCACCAAACATCATTTAAAAAAAAAAAAAAATCCTCACCACCACCAGGCCCTGCTTGTTCACTGCCTTTCCACAGCTTTGCTTAAAAAAATTTAAAAAAAAAAAAAAGTAGTTTTCTCTTACAATCCAAGCCATGCAGCCACGAATTACTTTCCTTAGCATCGTAAGTCATAATGGTTGATGCCAAAAAGATGCCACAGTGCAGGTAGATAGATGGAAATGGTACAGGAAGTCTTACAGATTGTTTTTGAAAACACACATGAATGGTACTCCCTTGGGCAGCACAAATACTCAGAGTGGAATGACTCACCGAACATTAACATGCCCCCTGTGCGAAGATGACACGTGGAGTAATGGAGGGGTCCGTGTCTTTTAATTATGAAGTGTTTGAATTGTCCTGTCGTTTCAGAAACAAAATTTCAACACCAGATTTTCACCTACCTGTTTTTCTCTCTTTTCTGCCTCTTCCAGAGATTTTTTTAGCATCTTCATTTCACGGGTTATCACTTCTATCAAGCTTCTCGCCCTTTCCTTCTCCTCTTTAGCCTCATTTTCTGCAGTACCCAGTTCTGACTTCACAGACATTAGCTTCTTCTCAGCTTTCTCCTTCATCTTCTCCAGTTTGTCTCTGGATTTATTGAGTTCTTCAATGGCTTTGGTCTGTTCCAAAGTTTTAATCTAAGGAGTCAAGAAAACGCAGATGATTTCTTCTGTATTTATTTAGGAAAACTGTAGAAACACAACGAATCAGAAATCAACAGAATTCACTTAACACTTTTATGACTAAAGGATGGAATTTACCCAAAACAACTACACTGACGTTGCTAAACATTAGGAGCTGAATGGGCACCACTTAAAACAGTTATAGTTTATAAACAACACACTGGAGTACCCTTATTTGGGAAATCAATGCGATAAGATTGTTGATGGCATGATTCTTGAGTGAGATTAAAATAAAACCCACTAGTAACTTGTACTTTCTGCCCTAACAGTTGGCCATTGACTCTGGTAGGTAAACACCAAGAAGAGCAAAATGTCCCCTCGGGGTGTCACAGGGAAGCCCATCTAAATCTCCTCAGCAAGCATTCATTACTACTGTGAGGGAAACCTGCAGCAGCGATTATTGAGACGTATCTTCTGACTGCACAAGTGTGGGAGGTGGAAGACGACACCTACAACCACGGCAAGCAACGGAGCAGGAAGGCGGCTCCCACTGAGGAGCTCATGTCAGGCCTCAAAGCCACAACAGCATCCTGGAGTGTGAGGCACATTTTCTTTATTACCTTATTATTCAAGTTTACACCAGAGCTGCTTAGTAAAGAATTTAAGTTTAAAAACAAAAGAGAGAGAGAGAGATGAAATTTTGCCATAATTGGCGTGGGTGAACCTTCAAAACATTGTGCTAAGTGAATTAAGCCAGATCCAACAGGACAAATTTTGTATAGTGCTACTTATATGAGTTACCTAGGAGAGAATGGTTCATACAGACAAAATAAAATAGAAGCTACCAGCATCTGAGAAAAGGGGGTTAGAAGTTACTCTCTGATGGGTACAGCGTTTCAGTATGGGATGATAGATAAGTCTGGAAACTGTGGTGGTGGTGGCTGTACAGGACTGCGAATGCGCTTTATTTACTGACATGTACACAAGAATGGCTAAGATGTAAATTTCATATTCTATTTATTTCAGCACAATGAAATGAAGGAATCAGAAGCAGTTGTGTACAGACACAAATATTTTTAAATGACTTGGTTTTGAGATACCGTCTCCCTTTGTAGTTCAGACTGGCCTTGAACTCACTGTGTAGCCCAGGCTGACCTTGAACTCAAGGTGATGATCCTCCATCCCAGCCCCCCAAGTGCTGGGATTATAGGTGTGTACCACATGCCTGGCCTTAAATGACTTTTAAAATAAATACAAATGAACTACCACTTAATACTCACTAGGGTAGCTAAAATGAAAATGATCGGCAATGACAAGGTCCAGGGAAGATGGGAGGGACATTAGAACCCTCACACTGTCCGCTGGAATGGGAAATGGGAAGCTGCTGCGGAAGACAGGGTGGCAGTGTTCAAAACATTTAACACAGAGTTACTGTGTGATACAGCGATTCCATTCCCAGTTATACACCTAAGGGAACTGAAAGAACATGTCCACACTGCACACAGATATTCATAGAAGTACTATTCATAATTGCAAAAAATATATAGAAAGGACCCAAATAGGCAGCAAGTGATGGATAAGAAAAGAAAATGTGGTATAGCCATACAATGAAATGCTATTCAGCAATAAAAAATAGTGGAATAGTACGACATGCTACAACATAAATGAATCTTGAAGACCTTGTGCCAAGGGAAAGAAGTTATTTGCAAAGACTGCATATTGTATGGTTCCATTTATATGAACGAACAGGAGGCTCAGGGATTTAGCTCAGTGGTTCTGACACCTGCCTCGCAAGCACAAGTTCCCAAGTTCAATCTCTGGTTAAAAAAAAAAAAAAAAGAAAAGAAAGAAAGAAGGAGAGGGGGGAAGAAAGAAAAAGGAAAAGAAAGAAAGGAAGGAAGGAAGGAGAAAGAAAGAAGGAAAATTGGGGAGACATACTATAAATCATTGCTGCTCCTGATAAATGAGAGCCGTGTGCGCGCGCCCGCGCGCGCGAGTGTGTGTGTGTGTGTGTGTGTGTGTGTTTGAGGAGAGTTGGTTCAGTTTGGTTTGGTTTGGTGTTTTCTGAGTAATGACAGAGGTAAGAATCACATTTAGTTGTTGGACTGCAGGTTATTTACTGACAAGGCAGCTCAGTAGCTCACTTACATGGGTCACATATGGATCCCACCCTGACATCTTTACCCAGCCTTGGGCTTCAGGTGGCTGAGCACCTGAACAGGAGCACAAGTTGGTCTAATCTCAAGTCTGAAAGTTCTTATGAGTCCACTGGAAGGTGCAGGAAGGGTAGACACTACTCTAGATTGGAATAAGACAGGATATAGATGACCTAAGACTGCTTGGGAAACTGTCTTGAATGACTTCATTAAATTAGGGAAGCCTGGGTTGAAATATGTACTGAACTCATAAACTATAAACTAACAACCAGTTTTTACCTACTAGAACATACACAACTTCCTAATAATCTGAATTCCTTTTGCTTCATTTCGGGTGTTGTGTTTCCCAAAATTCATATATTGAAGTCTTAACCCCTAAATTGATATCATTCATAAGTGGGGGTGGGGTCATCAGGAATGCCCTTTAGAAAAGAGGCCCCAAAGAGCTCCCTTGACCAGTCCACCAAGCTAGGTGTCATCTATGAACTACAATGCAGCCTTCGCCATATGTGAAATCTGCTGGCACCTTCCAAGCTGTTAGAATAGGAAGAATTAAATTTCTGCTCTTTATACACCACCCAGTTTATGTATGCTATTTTGTTATAGCAGCCTAAGACTCAGAGAGATACTTTTCTAGTTAGAAAAGAGGCTGGTAACAGACAGGCCTGGATAGTTCGTGGCCATAGAACTGGCTCCATCCCAGGGAGACAGAATGTCTTGGAAACTGACAGCAGCCATGAAACTTGCTATCAAGAAGTCATGAGAACAACTGCTGAAAACCTGGAAATACACAGAAAATGAGATGCCACAGCTGGGGGGAGGGACTCACTGGGGTCAATGAAATGACACTAGCAGAACAGCACTGGGAACAAGGAAATGCCACTCACTTAGTTGCGGTCTATGGGGCTGACCTCAGAGATCATTCATGGATTCCAGGTCACCACAGACTATGTCAGATACTAGTACATCAGAGTATTATCTTAGTGGGAATTCCTGAGTGTGCTGACGGCACTGTGGTGAAGAAGTGCATCCTTGATGTTAAGAAATACATGGGAAAGTATTTGGGGTCGAAGTGTCAAGGTGTTTGTAATTATGCTCTTAAATGATGTCTTAGTTACTTGCTGGGACAAAATACCTTATAGCCACAAATTAAAGGTGGAAAAGTTTGTTTCCACTCAGTTTGTGGAGGTTTCATTCTGTAGTCAGCTGGCTCCAAGGCAGGGCAGCACGGCAGGGACGCATGGTGGAGGAGAGACAGTCCATGGCATAGCAGACAGGAAGTAAGAGCAGAAGCTTCCTTTTCCTTTCCTAGTCCATCCAGGATATAAGCCTATTGGTTGGTAGCACTCACACCCAGGGTGGGTCTTCTGTCCTCAGTAATCCATTCAGCCACACTAGAACTATGCTAAACCAATCAATAGACTAATCCAGCACCCACTCTCTCTTTCCCTCTCTCTGTCTTCCTCCATTTCCTCTCCCTTTTTCTTCCCTCTCCCCTTCACAGAAGAGAAAATATAGGAATTTATAAAATGCTAACATTCTATATGAAGGGTAGAAGGATATGAATTATACTAGTCTATAGATTTAAATTTCTCAAAACAAGAAGCTGGGGAAAGGACTACAACTAACATGGATCCTATCAGGGAAAAATATTTGAACTTATATGTGTATTTATTTATAAGTTACATAAGCCCATTATTCCAAATAATATATTCTGTATTTTGACTATCAAACATGGTACAAATTGAGAGCACTACATGACTTGAATAAATATCTATTTTTAAAACAAAGTTACCTCCCCTTACAACAAAGAGATTCCCTTTTACAGGCAAACTATCTCACTGCTGCAGAGAAAATATGGTGCAAAGTGGAAAGTTGCTGGGATGGGTATGCTGAATTTAAAAGCTTGTATTAATAGAACAAGAGATACATTCAGCCTTCCTGTGCCAATTGGGTGAACATCTGCTGTGGCCATCTACTTAAGGTGATGGGACAAAGCCTGGAGAGCGAGAAGCACACTGAATCATGTCCTAATGAGAAGACTGTACTGCCAGGAATTTCCAAAAACTATGAGACTTCTATCACAATCCTGGGGGCTGCTTGTACTCTTGTTGTCAAGAAAAGCAAAAGCAAGAAATGGAGGTCAGAGCCAAGCCATGAGGACAGAACTGGAAGCCAGCAGAGTGCAGCATAGTGAGGAGCCTTGGCTTCCTAAAGTCAACCCCAACAAAAGATGGAAGTGGTATGGGACTAAATCGCTTGCTTTCTTTCTTTCTTTTCTTTCTTTCTTTCTTTCTTTCCTTCCAGTACTGGGATTGAGTCTTTTCACTGAACAACATTCCAGCACTTTTTTCATTTTTCATTTCGAGACAAGGTCTTCTTTATTTGCCCAGCTGGGCTCAGACTTCTGATCCTCCTGCCTCAGCCTTGGGAATGCTGGAATTACAGGCTCCAGTGGGCACTTCTCTGAGTGACAGGCTGTGCCTCTAATTTCCTCCCAGCAGAACAGAAGTGGCTATAAACATGACTGATGGGCTGCGGAGCCTCCAGCGAGGATGGGGAAGGTGTCCAGATGCTTCCTTCAGGAAAGAATTGTTAAATCTGGTGCACAGTTGTCTTAAAGGCCACCAAAGAAACGGTATTAAATTTAAAATCTGACGTTCTTGCTTCCCTGGAGGGTCTAAATTCTCCATCAGGTGGGTTTCAAGCCCTGCACTGAAAACAGCCCTAGCAGGAGCCAGGCATTATGCAGCACTCTCAGTATAGAGTAGATCAAAACAGAAGAGGGGCTCTCTCAGTCCACCAGATGCTTGAAGACTCAGAAGTGTTGGGAGAGGTGGGCCTGGTCCTCATTCTACCCCGTTCCCCTCTGTACCTACCACCTGTGGCCACAGTGAGCGCTCCCTTAGCAGGGTCAAGGCCCTGTCAGCGGCCTTTGGGGACTCCAAGCTTAGCTTACACTACTGTTGGATCAGAGCTTCAGTGACCGCCCAGAGCCTCTAACAGGGCTCCTTTTGTCCCTCACTTGAAGAGAACACCCCCGTGTGTCCCCATACTGAGCTTTTTCCCACTATCATCCAGTAGAACTCCAGGCTGCAGGATGTCTGGGTGCAGTCTGGGCCTCCTTTCCCCTCTCCCTCCGCTCCTTTCAGCCAGGGTGAAAGCGACTGAGGCTGCCTTCCAAGCTTCCACCCCTACTTCGCCACTTCCCCAGGGCCATTCTCCAGGCCTGAGGTGGGCTCAGGAACATGCACCTCTGAAAGTAGCCCACCCACTGTGCCTGATCAAACTCTCCCTCCTGTTCAGCTATGTCCCTCCCGGCCGGCCGGTGCCAGCCTTTCTCTCTCTAAGGAATGCAGTTAATTCCATGCCTTACTCCTGAAGGTAGAAGGGCCTTCAGAGGAGAACACTAACGACCTGGAAGGGAAAACACAATGGGAATATACCCATTCCACCTGTTCAGGAGTGGCTTGATTTCAGATACTTTTTCCCTACTGGTCTGTTTCCAGATTCAAAAACATTCCGAAAGTCAGTTTGCAAAGATCCAGGGTGTTATTTCTGCTGGTTTGTGATATGCACACCTTCCGGGGATGGTGTGTGCATGTTAACTGACATCTTACATTTAAACACTTTTATTAAATCCCTGTACATTTTCCTTTCTTTCTTCTCTGTAGTCACTAAAAATTTAACACCCTACATCCAAGCAATTTACCTCCTGATGCTACACAGTTATGTACTCCAATTCTTTTTTCTTTCTTTCTTTTTCAGTTCTGGGGGTTGAACTGGCGCTGAGCTATACATCCAATCCTTTTTTATTTTGAGGCAGCATCTCTCTAGGTTTCCAAGTTGCCCAGGTTGGGCTTGAACTTAACAATTCTTTTTTGGGGTTTTTTTGGGTTGTTTTTTTGTTTGTTTGTTCTTTGGTTTTCTGAGACAGGGTCTCACTATGTAGTTGAGACTGACCTGGAACTCACTATGAAGCCCAGGCTGGTCTCGAACTCACAGCAATCCCTGTCTCAGCTCTGAGACAGGGTCTCACTATGTAGTTGAGACTGACCTGGAACTCACTATGAAGCCCAGGCTGGTCTCGAACTCACAGCAATCCTCCTGTCTCAGCCTCCCAAGTGCTGGGATTACAGGTGTGCCACCACACTGGGTGTGTGCTCAGACGTTTCTCAGCAAACGGTGTGCCTATTTTCACATTTCTCCCAAAGCGAATCCCTATCTGATAAATTCTTCTATCATCTTTGATCTACCTACACCTTGAAAAAATGGTTGTATCCTCTGCCTGTAACCTCACCCTTTCTGGACTGACATTTCACACATTAGTGATGACTCTACTTCAAATATTAAAGACACACTAAGCTGATATAATATTCTGATCTATGTAGCTCTCACCTTTTCCCCACAACACTAAGAAGCAACAGGAAGCCCTCTCACTTCCCTCCTGGTATGTCCACTACAAGCTGTTAGTCTTTTGCATAAACTTTGATGGTGCCTGGATAAATGCGGGTAAGAGACAGAGCCACACACTTGCCTTAAGCTCATTGGTGTCAGCCAGTTTGGCTTTGAGCTCGGTGTTGGATTGGCGACATGCATTTAGCTCCTTCTGCATCCTCTCCACCTTCTTCTCCAGCGTCCTGGTGGTGAGATGGGCCTCATCCCTCTCCACAGCCAAGGCGGTGTGCAACTGCTTCTCCTCCTCCAGCTGGGCTATTTTCTGACGGAGGAGATTCATGTGCAGTTCTTTGCTCTCCAGCCTTTCTTTCTGAGTCTTTAACTAGTTTGATACAATAGGGTTTTTTTTAAAAATAATCAAACCATCAGTAAATATAAATGAATTGCCCAGATAAGGTCAATTTTTATCTACATTTCAAGAAGACTAGCTTATAAACCATGAAAGAAGGTTACTGGGTTCCTTTACTTGGTCTTTTCTTTTCTTTTTTCTTTTTTTTTTTTTTTTTTTTTTTTTTTTTTTGGGTTTTGTTTTGTGCTTTTTTTTTTTTTTTTTTTTTTTTTTTTTTTTTTTTGGTACCAGGGATTGAACTTGGTACCTTCTGCTTGTGAGGTAGGTGGCAGCACCACTGAGCTAAATCCCCAGGCCTTGTTCAAATTTTTTATTCATCTTTTTCCCAAGAATTAATTCTAAGACTGCCAAATATTGAATAAAAGAGCCACAGAAAATGTTCAAAAGAATCAGCTTTCCATACTTGCTTCTTGCCAATATTATGTGCATCATAATAAAAATGTGCAATTACTTTTAACCCTATATGAATAGGTTTATCCAGAGCAAAATATAATAAGGCAGAGAGACAAAATCCTTGCCAACACTCAATGGTCATATACCTGCTCCAGTGTTTCCTGAAACAAGATAGGGTACAGATTAGGACTGCAACTTGGGCCTAATAAATTTAATCCATGAGGACCAGTCCCCAACCACCATGAGAGTTGATATGTCTTTAAAGTAGAATATGCCAAAGGAGACATTTAAGAAAACTTTGCTTACATGTTTTAAACCTAAGAAATACAAGTGACTTCAAGAAAGTTTTAATGGGGCTGGGGATTTAGCTCAGTGGTGCTGCTGCCTGCCTAACAAATGCAAGGTCCTGAGTTCAATTCCCAGTACCAAAAAAAAAAAAAAAAAAGTAGCAGTCATTGAGGTAGGTTTCAGCACCATCTTAGTATAAGGAACAGACAGAGAGGTTTTCAATTTCCCTGGAGTCCACCAGCTTGGTGGAGCCAAAGTGAGAACCCAGATGTGACATTTTCACGGCCCCTATGCTAGAATTCGACCATGGAATTTTCTCCGAAGAACTATTATAAGAACACATCTGTGTTTTCCCTTTTCTCTCACCAGTACCAATAATTATAGAGCTCATAATTACATTTTATCCCTCTCATCTATTCATTCATTTGGTCTCAACTGTTTCTAACTCTTTGAGTGAATGAAAAGTAAGCATGAGAAACTAGAGTCATTCATAGGAAAATGGAAGCACATTGAGGCCGTACTCTTAAGTGAAATAAATAAGACACACGTGTGTAAATACCAAATAGTTTCTCTGGGGTGAAAAACTAAAAGTGTAAGTAAGATCCAAATTGTATAACTGACAATGTGAAATAGGAAGAAAAGGGCTAAAGATGTAGGGGAAGTGGGAAGGGCAGGGGAAAGGAAATAAGGGAAAAGAAAAAAAAACATGGGAAAATGAAAAAATGGAAACAAAGTCTTTTTAAATGAGGGGGGTAAAAGGAGGGCAGGAGTATAGTGAAAAAATGAGAACCCAGACCTGTCATGTAAAGGTACAAGATCCCAATGATGAATGTAACTGTACTGTATTCTTTTTTTTTTTCAGCTTTAATTGAGTTTATTGGTACATTTTAGGGATACAGTACAGTCACATTCATTGTTGGGATCTTGTACCTCTACATGACAAGTCTTGATTCTCATTTTTTCCCCTTACCTCTGCCCTCCCTTCACCCCCTCCCCTCCCCATCTACAAACACTTTATTTTCATCTTTTCATTCTCTCACATTTTTTTCTTTTCCCTTTTTACTCTTCCCCTACCCATCCCACCTTACCTATACCTTTAGCTCCTTTCTTCCCATTTCTAAATGTCAGTAATCTTATTAGAATCTTATGCATTGTTGCAGATTATTTACACCAGGGAAACTATTCGGTATTTACACATGTGTGACTTATTTATTTCACTTAGGAATATATCTTCAATATGTATCCATTTTCCTATGAATGAATCTATTTTCTCATTCTTTATGTCTGAGTAATATTCCATTTTATAGAAAAACCACAACTTCTTTATCCAGTTTCCAACGGATGGGCAAATAGGCTGTTTCCAAGATTTAGCTATTACAAACTGTGCTGCTATAAACATGGATGCACATACTTCTCTGTGATATGATTGTTTTAGTTCTCTTGGAAAGATACCCAGCAGAGGGATGGCTGGGTCAAATGGAACGTCCAGTCTAAGCTCTTTGACGTATCTCCATATTGATTTCCATAGTGGTTGCACTAGTCTGCACTCACACCAACAATGGAGAAGGGTTCCTTTCTCCCCACAACCCCGCCAGCATTTGTTATTGGTGATTTCTTGATAGCAGCCATTCTTTGTGGAGTGAGGTGGAATATCAGTGTTGTTTTCATCTACATCTCTCGAATGACCAGTGATGTGGAATATTTTTTCAAATATTTTCTTGCTGCTTTTACTTCTTTGTCTGAGAAATGTCTGTTCATTTCGGATGCCCATTTTTTAATCAGGTCTTTATATTTGGGGGTGCTGATTGTTTTGAGTTCTTTATATATCCTTGATAATAGTCCTTTGTCTGAGGAACAGCTGGTAAAAATTTTTTCCCACATTGTAGGTTGTCTCTTAGTTCTGTTGATGGTTTCTTTTGCAGTGCAGAAGCTTTTTAATAAGATGAGATCCCAGTTGTTGATTCTTTCTGCTAGTTCCCGTGCTACTGAGGATTTGTTCATAAAGTCTTTTCCTATACCAATGTCTTCCAGAGTTCTGCCTAACTTACCTTCCAGCAAGTTTAATGTTTCTGTTTTAATATTTAGATCTTTAATCCATTTGGATTTTAATTTAGTGCATGGCAAAAGATAAGGGTCTAATTTTAATCTGTGGCAGGTTGACATCCAGTTTTTCCAACACCA